CTAAACTACTAGCTTTATTAATATTAAATTCATTTGAACTATTATTTTCATTACTAGTTTTAAAAAGGAACTTAATTCGTTCAAGTTTCCTTTTAGAATGGGCATCATGACATGGTGCAAATCCAATAAGAATTCGATGTTTAATGCTCTATTATCCAAGATGTGGTCGAAATCAATTATAGGATCTATATATATGAAATTCCAAATCAATAATAATTTAAACTAAAGTTATATTGCTAAAACTATTAATGCTTACTATTCGGAAACCACAGAATGTCAGATAACTTTTGAATTTGTTCTACGATTACTTGACAAACCTCATAACTTTTTTCTATCAGGGTTTCTGTTCTTGAGCCTGAATTAAACTCTTCTTGAGTTATATTCATTTCAGATACTGCATAATTAATACTTTGAGAAACAGACAAACTATCCGTATTAAATTTTTTATTATTATAAGCTTCAAGATCTGAATCGCCATCCCAAAAGTCTTCAAGTGAAGTAGGAAATTTTTTATGAATATTAAAATAGTAAGCATCTTTTGGTGTGGCAGTTATTTCTAAATATCTTGCTAAATGAATAGCTTTTTTGTAACTTGTACTAATTGTATCATCAATTTTAGTATCAGATGGCCAATACCGTAAACATTCAAGCTTATCGTCTGATAAGTCAACCCCTTCATGTTCATTAAAATTATACCTAGAAGTTTCAGATCAAATTAATAACATATAATATATGTATAGAATTGTTATATCTAAAGTAGCTACTAGGGTTTGTAATGGTTTTATTTTTTATATGTTAACCCCGATTTTAATCAGTTTTACCATATGAAAATAAAACCAGTTCCAAACTTTAGTAGCTACTTTAGATAGATAGCTATTTTAAATGCAACATAATTAAAACTAATTAAATAATATTTACCTTCACGTACTGTTTTTTCTTTCGTAAATAGTAAACCATCTGATTGAACTGTTTTGAAATATTGCAAGAATTTCTAAATATGTAAAATCTGCACGAAATTGATGAGCAATTCCGAAAATATGTTCACAAGATTCAGTACCATGTTTCTATAATAATAAGGGTATATCCTCATAATAATCTCTATGAATCTTGACTAAAAGGACCAAAGATTTAACTAAACTAATCATAATGTTAAACGTTTGTGTTGATAGAAAGTTTTTGGAAACAGATATATATGAAGAGTAAATAGTGCTAAGAGTTTCAACATGATATTTCCATAAATATAAGAAAAAATATGTAGTTATAACTATTTCAATCCTTTCATAATGCGTAATATTTCTATTGAGATAACTAACAATAAGTTTACCTAAGATAAATCAAAGTTAATTAATTTAATAATATATATTGAAATACTAAAATCTTAAAATAACACATACCCATAACAAAGAGATATATAAATAAACCTCGCAGTTCAAATGATAAAGTTTTTCCTTCATCTAATACTTGAGCTAAATTTTTTGAACAAAATACTCTGTATGCAGCATTATCATCTTGATGATCCAATCTTATTATATCTCATTTATACATAATACTATTTTCTTGATAAGATAATTTTAATAGTTGATCAAAGCAAACTGTAGAATTGCCAAAGGTAAGTAATCGAGCACCTGACATAGCAGCATTTCTTGCAATTTTTTTTTCATGCTTTGAATTTTGAATACGAATTATGGGTCCAATTCCAGGAAATACAGGACAATTAAAATTAATTCCAAATTGAATATTTCGATACTGAACTCGGTTTCTAGTTTTAGTTGCTTGTAATAAATTTTGAGCTTGAAATTCAACAGCAGCACCGTCTAATCCAATAGATATTATATGTATCTCAAAATCTGCTGCAATATCTATAAGTTTTTGGTGAAGAGTAAAAATATTTTCAGAATCATTATTTCCAGCTGGAATTAATGCCACAATTATGGGTGGAAATTTTGAAAGAGGCACCTAAAAATTTAAATAAAATTAACATAATAATATATTCAGATATAATGATACTAAAAAATTCAAATCTAATCATTACCTGAAGAATATAAACTCTAACATATTTTGCAATAGCATTCATTTGCTTGATATTAGAAACTTTATTATATATATCATCATAGGTTTCAATTTTACAGTCATTTTTGTTTAAGGTTGATCCAACAATACAATCTAAATTTGATGAATATTGTAGCTCAGCTTTTAATTTTGTACAATCAGTCATTGCTACAACAGGGCCCTTATAATGCACTGCATCCAGGAATCTTTTAAACTGAGCAACATTCTCATAGCAAAGATCAGGGTTGTTAATAACATAATCTGAAACATTCTGATGTCATCTATAAAATAAAATTAATAGAATTATATTTAAATATTGTGCTAATTAGATAATCAGATCTTTACTAACAAAAATAACCTTTCAGGACTATTATTTACATAGTTCTTAAGAGTTACTTTATTAATAAATATCCCAATAAGTATATATTACTAATTACCTCATTGTACGAATTATTATACCAGCTAGATTTTGGCAGAATAGATCTAAAGCTTTCAAGCTAATACTCCCCAAAATTATAAGAAAATTTAAAAATTTGATTGAATATTTGAGATTCTGTAAACCTTTATCATGCTCTTCACGTTCTGAAACTTGTAGCATGATATAGCAAAGTCCTTTAAAAACTGGCTTTTGCTCAAATACTCCTTGAAAGCTTTATTAGCAAATTCTGTCCAAAATTCTTTTGATGATGAATTTTGGTTACAAAGAATATTATTCAATTGTTTAATGTGATTGTTTTTTAGATATGTTAATAATGGATTGTTGTGATAATAAAATTTTAGAATATATTTAATGTTTTTTGGATCAGGTGTAATGGCTCTAATGCGGTTCATAAAGTATGAATTATTATAGAGAAGTAAACATGGAGAGCAGATCTGCTCATAAATTTTTCTTTCACATTCAACCAACCGAACACACATTCCTAATTAAATTCTATGTGAGAAATAAGTACTAAGCATTATTAAACAAATTCATCACAGGTTTACCCTGCTATATTATAATTATTTTATTGACACGATCAATAAACCATTCTGATTCACTTATTATTTGATGATTAAATTGAGTTATTTCTTCCCCTTTAAGTTTCTTAAAGCTAAATCCCATTTTACTTGAAAACCTATTCGAAAACATTTCTTTTCCAATTATTTCTCGCCGTCATGCACCTCCATATATGGAGGGTGTTTGGTTAATATAAGAAGTTATTTGTTCTGAACTAAGTCCAGGACATGGTTTAATTGACGATAGTGTCTGCAACAGTGGTGAGGAAGGTGGTGAAGATGATAAGGATGGTGAGAGCGGAGAGTCTTTACTTTTCTTAGGATTAGGTAAAACAGGAAACAGGCCAGATAAACCAAGCTGCCTTTTTTTGTTGTTCACCTTACATCTTGAATTTTTAGAATGTTCATTAAGTCTTGAATCATCATAATCGTTATCAAGACTAACTTTTTGCCCACATATACAAAATACTGTTCGCTTATCAACTATGGCCCCACAATACTTATTTTTAACTAAACGATCTCAACTATGCTTCCACTTCATGTTTCTCTTAAAGCTAAACCTTCTTATCTGGTTAGTTAAAAAAAACTTATTGGTTCTTTTTTTGTTAAACTTTCGCGTACTCTTTTTTTTATTAAACTTTCGCGTGCTCTTTTTTTTATTAAACTTTCGCATGCTCTTTTTTTTATTAAATAAAGAAAAAAAAAATAAATAAAATTTCATGTATTAAAAAAAAAAAACTCGAAGTGAAACTTTCGAGAAAAAAATAAAAACTCAAAGTGAAGCTTTCGAGAAAAAAAAAAACTCGAAGTGAAGCTTTCGAGAAAAAAAAAAAATTGAAGTGAAACCTTCGAGAAAAAAAGATCGAACTGAAACTTTTGTGAAACATTCAAGAAAAAAAAAGATCGACTTATATTTAAAAAACAACCAATCAGAAATCAGATGTAAGCATCAATGATACTACGTAAAAGAAGGGTAAATCGACAAAATTCAAGATATAACAGCATAAAAATTTATACAATTTTGACAAACAAAAAAAATATGACTATCCTTTAAATTAATATCTAATTTGCCGAAACTCAAACTTGGACTTTGGGTCAAATTCTTTGCAATTTGCTAAACCAAAAGTATGACCTATATGAGAGATGTCTGGGGTCCTTCTATAACCTACTATTATTTGGATTACCTAATTAAACTCTCTGATTCGAGTTTTCTATGCTAATCTATCTAACCTCACCTGGAACATGTGATACATTAGTTAGTCCAAGTTCCAGAATCATCACAGACTACCTATAGGACTATCAGTATGGTCAACTGATTCATCCTCAAATGCATCACCTGCTAGAGCAGCCCAGTACCCACTATTACTATATTACCTAGTCTATTTTAGTAACTTATGCCTAGGCTAAGACCAAGTACTTGCAAGCTGAAGCCGCTACCGTTATCTACACAGCCCTTGTAAAGTTTACCCAAACCCTGGTATCTCTTTTTCAAGACAACCTGATACCTTTCCTTATAGTACCCCTAGCTAGTTTTACAGACTACCAATCTAGATAGCCTAAAAGAACATCAGTCTTTTCCTCTAGTTAGCCTGGTGGTCTGATTGGTAGAGTAACTTGCCAATATTCTTGCCTTGTCCAGTTTTTTAGCCTCAAGTGAAGCTTTTCTGGTAGGCACCGTTGAAAGCTTGTGCTACCTCTCTACTCAGGTCTTGCCAAACGGGCTTCCCATAGCACCATTTATCAGATTAATATGATTCAAGAACTTATTATAAGTTTACACCACCTACCAATTTTGTATCCTCTTTGTGCAACTTGTACATTACACAAATGCCCTGAGATCTCCCTTAGATCAACCTGATAGTACAATAAATATTCTTCCTATATAAAGTATGACCGATGTTACAGGATCTTCTTTTCAATATACGAAAGAGTTGCTATTACATGAAAACATTCAATTTTTTGCCATCAGCAGGAATTGAACTCAATATGTGCTGCTTGGGAAGGTAACAACCCAACTACTTCACTAAGTCAGCACACCTCTTTTTAAAAATTTTTAAAATATCCACCCGATTATTAAAATATACAAAAATTTTTTTTATAAATTTTCAAATTTTGACTCGGCTAGGCTATGAAAACTAATTAATTAAGTTTGTATAGCCTAATATAATTAAATTTTACAAAATTTACTTAGTAAAAATATAGTAAAAATTCAAAATTTTAATATTTTTTATTTGAATATTAGTTTATAGTAACAAATTACTATGGTGACTCTATATAAAAAGTTAATCAAATTGAGCATATGACTATATAATATATTACTTATTATTACTTAATAAAATTTTTTACAAATTTTATAACTTTTATAATAAAAAAATACAAAAGAAAATTTTTGAACTCTAAATATAATAGGCCACTATATATAGGATCATTATAAAGATGGATCTCTATTGTCTTTTTGCTTTTTATTTTTATATAATTAAAAAATTTGATATTTATATTTTATAATATATAATTTTTACTGGGTTCAAAAAAAATTAAGTTTTTTTTCTGATAACAAAATTTTCTAAAAAGATTTTATATATATTTTACTATAAAATTGATCATTAAATATTACTTTTGCTATCTACTGTATATATATATTTGTAGTTAATAGGCTCCTGTTTTATAACTATATGGTGATTATTTTTAGCAAATAATAGATATTTTTTTGATATATATTTAATATTTGTTTTAGAATAAGTGCATAGTTTGAGTAGTACTGTATAGCTCAAAGTGTATAGTCTAAATAGTGCAGCTTATATGCTAAAAAAGAAATAATAGTAAAATCTTTTATTTTCTAAGAAAGTTAATCTATAAAATTTGATTTTTCAAATAATTTTTTAAAAAAGCAAAAAAGCAATACTAAATTTCTATAAAGAAAATTTTAATATAGTACCAAAAGCAAATACAGTCAACTTCTTCTAAATGCATGTCCTCTAAGTACAGGTTCTCTCTATTTATATAAAAATAGCCTGGTCCCAAGCTGGGACTTATAAAATAAGTACATGTTCTATATTCTCTAAATGCAGAATATTTTTTTAAAATTTATATATAAAAATATTCTCTTTAAATGCATTTCATGTAATAAAATTTAAATAAACAATTAAAATGGTTAAAAATCAAATACAAAATTTTATATAATCATTTATTACTAATTTAAAATTATTGTTACGCTTTTCAAATTTTATAAATATTACAAATCTTTGATATTTCTATCAATTTTATAAGAAAAGAATACAAATTTATAAACTTAATTGCTTTATAATAACTTGAAAGAGATAATATAATCGAGAATATACAAATTAAATAAATTTTTTTATTGAGAATATGTTGCATATATCAATACAATTAATATATA